AATAAATAATTACTACACACAGTATAAACATATCTTTGTTTAATTCTAATAAATAATTACTACACACAGTATAAACATATCTTTGTTTAATTCTAATAAATAATTACTACACACAGTATATACATGTCTTTGTTTATTTATAATAAATAATTACTACACACAGTATATACATGTCTTTGTTTAATTATAATAGGTAATTAATAAACAGACACAATAGAGATATGTTTTTGTATATTCATAAAAATAGTGATTTTTTTTGCCAGCATTAGAAATTACAATTTTCCCTTTTCTAGTCATTTCAAAGGATGGCTCAATAATATAATTTTGTTTCTGAAAAACTGGACTGTAGCTTGAGAGTAGCATGGGCCTCATAATAGTGTGAAACTACTAAAATCTCTTATTAGATGAGAAGCCTGCAACTATAAATCTCATTTATTTGTTTATTGATTTGTTCAAAAAACCTTTAAATTATTATAATGTGTATGTTTCCCAACAAGTAAAACCTATAATATTTAGCATGTATATATTTCCCAACCAGTAAAATGTTGAATATTTATAGTGTGTATATTTCCCAACTAGTAAAACCTATAATATTTAGCGTGTATATATTTCCCAACCAGTAAAATCCTTAATATTTATAGTGTGCATATTTCCCAACAAGTAAAACCTATAATATTTAGAGTGTATATATTTCCCAACAAGTAAAACCTTTAATATTTAGAGTGTATATATTTCCCAACCAGTAAAATGTTGAATATTTAGAGTGTATATATTTCCCAACCAGTAAAATGTTGAATATTTATAGTGTGTATATTTCCCAACTAGTAAAACCTATAGTATTTAGAGTGTATATATATATATATATTTCCAAACAAGAAAAATCTTTAATGTTTTGACTGTGTATATTTCCTTAACAGTAAACCTTTGATGTTTAGAGTGTGTATATTTCCCAACTAGTAAAACCTTTAGTGGTTAAGAAAAAATTGGGAAGTTTAAAAAATGATAAGGCTCCTGGGCCAGATAATATTTCCCCAAGGGTTTTGAAGGATTTTAAAGATTGGATATCTGAACCACTTGCTACTATTTTTTGTCAGTCCTTGAGGATAGGAAGTTAGCTTAAGTAACTCCTCTTTTCAAGGGAGGTGATAAAAATTGTCCCAGTAATTATAGACCCATTAGTCTCACATTAGTTGTGGGAAAAGTTTTGGAAAGTCTGTTAAAAGATGCTTTGCAAAGTCATTTAACAAAGTTTATAATTTTATTGGAGAGTCAACATGGTTTCACTAAGGGAAGATTTTGCCTTACAAATCTTTTTTAACATTCTTTGAAAAGGTTACTGCTTATGTAGATGATGGTAAAGGTGTAGATTTGGTGTATCTGGATTTTCAGAAAACATTTGACAAGGTGTCATGTAAAAGACTTGTAAAAATTATATCTATATGTGTGGAGGATAAGTTAGCAAATTGGATAGAAGAGTGGCTGGATGGAAGAAAGCAGCAGGTTATTACAAATGGAGTTCAGTCAAACTGGATTAATGTCACAAATGGGGTACCTCAGGGCTCAGTCTTAGGATCTTTGTTTTTTTTTATTTACATCAATGACATAGATGAAGGGATAGTCAATAAATTACTTAAATT